ACATAATTTACAAATTATTTTTTTTCCAGTAATTGAATCTCATTTACAATTATGCAAATCATGTCTACACAATTACGGGGTATGGCTGCATACTTTGGCAATTGTATATACATGAGTGCCGGCATGAAGATAGGACTCTCCAAAAGAGGTCACCCATTTAAACTTGATAAAATAAGATTTTGCCTATGGCAGAGAAAATAGTTCTTCATTGTATTAACAATACAGATGTGGCATTCCCTACACACAGATATATATTTTTTTATCAGATTACATACATATTACGAAACACTATCTAGATTTTCTTGGAAAACCAGAATATTTAAGGATATAAACATCGATATGCGTGGTATCGCCTTATTAATCCAAAGAGAAATATGACCGCCAATTTTGGAATCAAGAAGGTTTTGTTTTTTTTCATTTCGATAACAAATTGGAAATCTCTTCTAGTTGGGTTTATTTTTGATCCACAGCAGGAACTGAGATGTATGAACTACAAAACTTGATTGACGTTTTCCAGTCTATATTACTATGTAACTATGTATGAAGACTGCATAAAAAATATTTCCATAACTATAATGAAAGTATCAGTGACAACAGGACTTGATTCATAAATGTGAGTCTTCTGTTATATGAAAGATCTGGTTAAGTGTTATCTTAGGAGATATTTTGCAATTCAGTGAGTGGACAGTCTGTAAATTCATAAATATTTGAGACATTCAGTGTAAGTAAAGTTGAGGTCCCAGACTCATAATGTAGTTTTTATTATCTTCTTTACAAAACGTGGCTAAATCAATGAGGTCAAATTCATCCATGAATGAACTACTCAATCTTATCTTAGTTCAGCTCTTTCCTAGTCATTTTTTTACTTAACCATAAGAGTTCTGTAGACAAATTGTGTGTGTGTGGGGAGGGGGGTTTCAAAAGATTCTGTTGCATTCAATGTCTTCTTAAAGGGGACCTGTCGCTCCCAAGTCTGTTAATAATATGTCTACTTATCTTTATCTTTAACATATATGTACTTATAAGTGTATAAAATACAATTAAATGTAGAAATCCACACCTCTTTATCCTGTAACTAGGTGCCTCCATCTTCCCTGACAATCATTTTTAGAAGCTCTATGCTTTGCACCTGGTAGTCATCAGAGAAAAAACATGCAAAAAAAGAGGAGACATTAAACAAATATTCATTTTTTTCCTGTTTATTTGTGTGCCCTGTCCCCTGTCTCTGCATGTCTGAACTGGATTGTGATGTAATTTGCTAAATTGTTAAAGGAACACTATAGGATCAGGACCAGAAACATGTATTCCTGAACATGTAGTGATAAAACCACCAACTAGCCCCCTTGTCCCCTTTCTCACCCTCCTAAATATAATGAAATCTTACATTTATCCCAGTCTGCTGGTGCCTGCTCTGCCCCTGATCTGTCTCCTTGGCTGACATCATCAGAAGTGGTGTTCTGAGCCAATCACAATGCTTCCCCATAGGATTGGCTGAGTCTATAATGGAGGCATATCAGGGGCAGAGCCAGAACAAGCCAATCAGCATCTTGGCCAATCAGCATCTCCTCATAGATGGATTGAATCAATGTATCTCTATGAGGAACGTTTAGTGTCTCCATGCAAGAGGTGGAGATACTGAATGTCAGTCACATTGTGCATCACTGACCCAGGAAGCACCTCTAGCAGCCATCTGAGGAGTGGCCAGTGGAGTTATCCCTAGACTGTGATGTAATTTACAGAATGTTGTGATTAGATGACAACCAAATTGCTAAATGTTCCTAGTTAAAAATTGTTAATTCTGTGACGTGCATTCAAAGTGAATTTCAGATTTTGCTCCAAAATAGTCTAATTGGAAAGATTCTCCAAGTCAGCTTCCAGTTTGACTATTTTGTACTAAAATTTGAAGTGTGCTTTGAAATCACTTTATATTTTTGAAATCCACACTTAATGAGTAAATCCTGTTAAATATCATCTTCTGATTTGGCTACGAACTGTTTAGTGAGTAAACGAGCAAAACAAAATGTTTTGAGCTCCTTGTCACACAGTCAATTGATTAAGTATTGTTGTTTGTTTGTTTGTTTTTTAACATTCTTTATTTTTGAATGTATTCGGTGGGAACACACCACCAAAATAGTTTATTACAGAAAGAGAAAAATAAAGCATAACATAAGATGTGGATAGTGAAACCACAAAATGGGATTGTAGCAATTACATTATGCACTAAACAGTTAATATAGTTTGTGAAGTTACGCTGTACCTGATACATGTTGATGGTTACAGTGAATATACAAAGCAGTGTAATTAAAATGTGTTCTACAATAGGATGTGATTCTTTAAGATGTATCAGCATTTAATACATTTGTTCTCCACTCGTTGACAGGAGCATGTGGGCTTCCGTTCACTTGGTATGTTTGTTTTCCACTCTGGGGTCCGAGTAGCATGTCTGGCTAGGTTAGTATTTCCCATCTTAGGTAAGTGTCCGTTGCTGCCATAGGTACGGGCTGGTGTTGGTGGCTGAGTGGGTTGTGTGGTTCCTTGGCAGTGAAATGTGGTAGGAGTTGTTTTGAGTGACCTTGGGTGGTTTGTTTGTTTTTTTAACTTAGAAAAAACTGCTTTATTTTCATTCACAACTGCATACAAATCTTTTTTTCAAATGCATGTTACTTTTATTAGTGTCTACATATAGATTAACAACATAATACATGCACACGCTCACACACACATTGACATTACTGATAAGGGGTAGTGTGTGGTCATCGATGAAGCTCAACTGTTCACATCGGATCTAGCATCTGTCAGCTAGAACCTGGATTTTAGTAAATCCCTGACCCACTCTTTTTACATCAGACAGACTCAACCATTAAAATCACAAATGAACCGGTAGAGGACTGTAGAACTGATGGCTTTAGTGCTGTATTTTGAATTGTTTTGCCTAAGGTTTCTGCTTAAATCAAACTGTGGAGGTGAAAACGGTCAAAGATAAAAGCATTTATTAAAATCCTCTGACCACATCTTAGAATAAATCTCTACAATCACCCCTTCTGTATGGTTCTTCTGCGTAATTCTATTTAGAGTTCAAATAATGTATTCTTAAGAGAACAATGAGCAGAACACCACCTCTCTATCATTTAATTGTGTTACTAAATTATATGGTGATGATGAATAGGCAGAGAGAAGTAACTTTCAAATGACCTATAGACACTTTATAATGTATACATCTGAGCTATGCACAGCCTTTAAACCCTGTGTCAGGGATGGGAATAATTACGCAGAAAGTATTATTAAATAAACAGGAATTGTTTTTTTCTTGACATCATCATGTGTCCCCGTATGCAAATTTGTGAGCATATAAGCGTAAGTTTGTTCATAAATTAGAGAATTACAACTTTAATAACTTTTTACCTTTGTCATTTTTGTTCCATATACTGTATTTTTTGCTATCCTTCAAGCAAGATATGTAAATAATTTACAATGTAGCACAGTTTAGGGAAAAAAACAAATATAAAAAAGATTTGTAAAAAAAATAATTGGGTAGCGTGTCCTGGTATCGGAATGGAGCGGATGCATGTGCTGGCAGCTCCATATCTCCAGGGCTATTAATGAGCAATTACAGCCCGATTCTACAAAAATCTCATCGCAATGTCCCAGACTAAGGGGAAACGGACCACAGAGAGGGGGGGAGTTGTTCAAGGGCGAGCCTTGCAACACGCAGAACAGGCCCAAGATGGAGTGGACAATGAGCACGAGCTCACTTCACAGTCTGCAGAACAAGACACCACGCTGATTTGCAACTCACTGAAAAGAGCCTCCTGGACGAGATGTCCAACAAAATATTATCAACATTGGATACAGCCATGAAAGATCTCCGCAAAGACCTGCACGATCTGGGCAGCCGCACCTCACATGTAGAGGATTAATTGGCAGAAATAGCGAAGGTGCACAACGCTCTGGCGAGCAAATTAGAAGGCCTAACCCACAGATAGAATGGACAGGATGTTAAGCTGGTGGGCATGGAGGATTGGGCCTGCCGCAATAACCTGCACATAAATGTGAGTACACGAGTCCTTACACCCCATGTCATGGACCTACTGAGAGAGTTAGTGCCAGACTTACCCCACAATCTGTTCCTCCATCGCACCGCCAAGCCAAAATTCCTACCACCGGGCACACCACGAGATGTGCTGATCCGGATGCACTATTTTCAGGCCAAAGAGGCTGTTATCACCGTAAACAGAAAGCGCAAAGATCTGCCTGCTGCCTATAGAGAGACGGTCATCTCCCCTACAGGTGGGGGTATCTTGGTATCCAGAGAAGGAAAAACCATCACAATTGCCACACCGGGGGACAGAGACTCTTGCGACATTGCACCACTAGATCAACCTAGCCCAAAGAAGGACAGAACCGGAGTGTCGCCGGAGTGAAAGAAAGCGAGGAAAAGATAGGACATTCAGACTAAGAGTGTGTAAATCCTAGCACTCCTCGTTCCTACACTCCTGGATGTTCAAAACTCACCAGGTAATATAAATTAGGGATCGACCGATTATCGGTTTTACCGATATAATCGGCCGATATTCGGTATTTTCGGCAATATCGGTATCGGCCAATTCAGATACCGATATTGCCGATAATACCTCCTAGGACCGCCAGGCTCATTACAAGCCCGGCGGTCCTGGGGGGGCGGAGAGCAAGCGCTTACTCACCTCCCAGCAGCTCCTCCAGCGCCCCAGTGCAACTCTCGCGAGACCCGCGGCCTTCCGAGTGTTTCCATGGATCACCATGGCAACGCTCCGCGCGACACGCTGGCCGCGAGAGTTGCACTGGGGAGCTGGAGGAGCTGCTGGGAGGTGAGTAAGCGCTTGCTCTCCGCCCCCCCAAAGCTCAGCCAATACCACTGGACCACCAGGGACTGTCATATCCCCCCTCCCTGGCCAGGCAACAAGCAGGGAGGGGGGACAAAAAATAATAATTAAATATATATAAAAATAATTTAATAAAAAATTCCCCCTCACACACTCCATTATATACACAGACACTACACAAACACACTGTGTATATAATGCAGTGTGTGTTTGTATAGTGTGTGTTTGTATACAATGCACACAAATACACTGCATTATATACACACACTATACAAACACACACACAAACTGCATTATATACACACACAAACTGCATTATATACACACACTATACAAACACACACACAAACTGCATTATATACATACACACAAACTGCATTATATACACACACTATACAAACACACTGTGTATATAATGCAGTGTGTGTTTGTGTAGTGTGTGTATATAATGCAGTGTATTTGTGTAGTGTGTTATATAATAATTCAGTGTGTGTTTGTGCAGTGTGTGTTTGTGCAGTGTGTGTTTGTGCAGTGTGTATTTGTGCAGTGTGTGTATATAATGCAGTGTGTGTGTTTGTGTAGTGTTTATATAATGCAGTGTTTGTGTGTGTAGTGTGTGTATATAATGCAGTGTGTTTGCATAGTGTGTGTATATAATGCAGTGTATTTGCGTAGTGTGTTTATATAATGCACACTACACAAACACACTGCATTATATACACACACTATACAAACACACACTACATTCACTATACACACACACTACACAAATACACACACACACACTCTGCATTCATTATATACACACACACTTTGCATTTAGTATATACAGCATTCACTTTACGCACACTACCCACACACTACACAAACACTCTGCTTTCATTATATACACACTACACTAATACACACTGCATCCACTACACACACTAAACAAATACAAACTGCATCCACTACACACACTAAACAAATACACACTGCATCCACTACACAAACACACATTGCATCCTCCACACACACTACACAAACACTCACTGCATCCACAACCCACACACTACACAAACACACACTGCATCCACTACACACACACTACACAAAGACACAACAAAGAGGAGTTAGGCGCTCACTAAATAAACTAAAGGTGGGCAGCAGTGAACCAAGCAGGAATTAACACACTGCATCCACTACACACACACACACACACACACAGCTCCCCTGTCACACTGCATCCACTACACGTGGCATGTATATTTTGTGCATTTACCTTTAGAAATAGTTTTTATTTTCCAAAATGGTAAATGTACAGAATATCGGCAAATTATATCGGCTATCGGCCTGAAAGTTCACAGAATATCGGTATCGGTATCGGCTCTAAAAAATCAATATCGGTCGATCCCTAATATAAATGTATTGAAAGGTGGTCAAGGGGTATGGGGGAGTAGCGGGGGACCAAAAAGCATCTGATCACATGTCCGCGAGGGGCCCAAGTTCACAGATAGATACCACAAACGTGGACATTTTGGGATAGTCCACTAACCAAAAAGAAAAAAAAAACACGTAATCAACCAACCAAAAAAATAAATAGACAAATACATTTAAAAACAATCATAATATCCATTGATATGGGGAAGACGGTCACTGGTAAATAACCACACTCCAAGTTGTCCACAAGCCTCAAGGTTAATTTTTCTGAATGTTGCCTCAATTAAGAAAGCCACCACCAGGGGAACATACATTTAGATACAGCGGGAGGCAGCGGCACTCTTTCCTGCGGTGCTATTAGTACTAGGAAGTAGCATACTGCAACCGCCTAATGCGCACTCACATGCAATTGCTTAAACATGTCTAAGTACTATTATTGTAATACATTTGGGCTGTTTCACTTATATTTGGTATCTTTTATTCTATGCTACTCCATCCTGGAAAGGATTTATCCATTGGAGCTTAATTGCAAGATAACTCCTATCACACCCATGCAGATATACCTGAGTCAGTGGAGCATAGGCTCAAAGAAATGTGAGTGTGATACTAGAGGGAAAATCCTCTATTATTGATCTGTTTATGTTGATCAAACTATATTGCTCCATGCAAGTATTTATATATTGCAGTTACACCTGGAAAGTGCTACAATTTTGTATATACTGTTCACATTTGTGTATCACCGAATACGAGTGTATAATTCACTTTTATTATCTTACACTAAGTGCACTGCTCACTTTATGTATATTTTGTATATTGTTTGGTGAAATTTTGTGTGATTTATTTCACGGTGAATTTAGCAGCACAATTAATCACATTTACATTTAAGAGAGCCTTAATATATGGCACCTTTTTGGTTTATATATTAACATTATACATTAATAAAATTGAGGCATTTTATGTTTCCTTGAATTTAATTAGAACTCGTGAATTAAAAAGAAATGTATCCGTTTATAAGTTTTGGCCAGTCTTCAAGGACAAGTGAGAGATGCACATTGAGGTCCTGACATTTGTTTTAAATAGTATATCGAAACTTTCATGAAATTCCTGGTTTGTGCTTTTTCAGAATTCAAGTGAGTTATTAGTGTTAATAATTATATATATGGTTAATAATTATAATAAATTGGTTTATATATATATATACATATATATATATAAACTAATCTAAAGAGTGAAAGAAATAGTCTCTTGGATTCAGAAATAATCTTATCTCAAGCATGACAGTTCCTGTTTAACCCCTTAGGGACACATGACGGAAATATTCCGGCATGATTACCTTTTATTAGTTGTGTCCTTAATGGGTTAAGGAGGAAGATCACTAGACTTGGGCTGACTCAAGAATTTAGGTTTTCTCAATGAAATATTTTTATTTTTCCATGACTGATACTAGATTGCAAGATGAAAGAGCAGAAATTAGAAGAAAAAAAAGGCTTTGTAACCCCTTCCTTCCCAGCATCATGTTTATAGAAGACGACTTCATTTAGCATATAGAGCTCCACATACCTTGACCTTCAGTGCATAGAAATAATTCTAATTTACTTGTACGGTCACCTGTCTCTGGATTTAAAAAATGTTTGACTGATTAGGACCATGCCATATAACAGTTGGAAGGAAACAAATACAGGATGATAACATTCTTTGTAACAAAATCAACTACATTTTAGCATGGAGTACAGTAACAACACATAGTTCAATATACTCAAAAATGATTCCTTTGATTTTCCTTTGGTGCTAATACGGTTTACAAAAGATTTTATTGGAATACTGGACACAGAAATTAAAGGGACAATATAGTCACCAGCTTAATGTAGCTTAATGTAGTTGTCCTGGTGTCTACAGCCTGTCCCTGTAGGCTCTTTAATGTAAGCACTGCCTTTTCAGGAGAAAGGCAGTGTTTACATTAGAGCCTAGGGACACCTCCAGTGGCTGTCACTCAGACTCTCCGCATGGAGGTGCTGAACGTTCCTCATAGAAATGCATTAATTCAATGCTTTACAAGTTGCATTATCTCAGCCAATAGGGCGGAGCGGGGGCGGGGCCAGCCGCCAGGAGAGTAAAAATACCTTTTTATTTGGGGGTGAATGTGGGCTGGCCATCTAAACAGCTATTAAGACCTAAAGTGTCAGGAATGCATATGTATATGTTCCTTTAAATGTGTATATTGTAGCATTACCACTCTGGGAAAACAATTATCCCTTAATACTTGTTGATATGATTAAAACGATTTGACTCCAAAGAGGGATCAAGATCCTACAGGGTCATCAATTTGGGGCCACCCATTCACACATATAGGGATGGTGAATGGAACCCAGCAAATTAATAGTTTCAGGACGTCTGTCTTTCCCCTGGTCTCTAGGTTGCTGCCTATGGACCCACACGACTGACATTCTGGTATTTACAGACAGAAGGTGACAATTTGTAGAGTAAAGATTTTTGTTTCTTCAGCTACCCATAAGAGTTATACCGTTTGATCTTATATGAATTGTAACTCAACATATGCAAATTGTTTAATTTCATGCAAAACATGTGAGATCCAATATGTAACGCAAACATATGTTATGCGAAAGTAAGAATATTTCACCAACTGTGTGGGCCTTCAGAACGTCACATTCAATGCTACTGAGAACACAATAGATCGCTCCACAAATAGCAATAGAGGAGAGAACGATTGGATCTTTATATCATAAACATCCAAACCTGATGGGACTAATTATGAACTGGAATTGAATTTCCAGTTTAATAATCTCAGTAAAGTCTGCATTTGATAAAATAAAATATGTGCAACAATGCTATAAAATGGCTCAATTGTGTTTCATCACTAAACTGTACATTGTAGCCAAATGAAAACTGAATTTTGAAATTAAGGCTAACAGATTATTTATATAAATTCTCTAAATAAACGATCACCACGACATTTATTTTAGACTTAATTTTGCAATTAAGCGCTTTTCAATTTGCCGCATTTCAGAGTTTGGAGAATAATCCTACATTAAGGGAGCCATTAAAAGCTCAATATTTCATGTTAAAGGGACACTATAGTCACCAGAACAACTACAGCTTATTGCATTTGTTCTGGTGAGTAGAATCATTACCTTCAGGCTTTTTGCTGTAATTACCGTCTTTTCAGAGAAAATGCAGTGTTTACATTACAGCCTAGTGATAACTCCACTGGCCACTCTTTAGATGGCTGCTAAAGCTGCTGCTTCCTTAAGCAGTCCTGCCTAGTGTGCAGCACTGCCATTCAGTGTCTCCATCCTCTGTATGCAGACACTGAACTTTCCTCATAGAGATGCATTCATTCAATTCATCTCTATGAGGAGTTGCTGATTAGCCAGGGCTGTGTTTGACTTGCGCTGCCTCCAGGGCCGGTGCAAGCATTTTTGCTGCCCTAGGCAAAAAATATGTTGCCGCCCCCACTCATGCAGACTAACACACGCGCTGACTCAAGTATAAACACGCACCCATATACACACGCTAATCTATGCAGAGACACACATATAGACTCAAACTGACCCAGACAAACACAATGAACTATGCAGACACACACAATAACTAATGCAAACACAAACACTGACCCACACATTGACCCATGCAAACACACACACATAAACTGGTCCATACAAGCACACACTTACCCATACAGACACACACTGACCCATACTGTAAGAACAATCAGGATGTGGAATTCTCTGCCTGAGGAAGTGGTTTTATCAGAGTCCATACAGATGTTCAAACGGCTACTAGATGCATACTTGCAAGAACAGAATATTCAAGGATATAATCTTTCAATGTAGGGTAATAACTGCTTGATTCAAGGATAAATCTGACTGCCATTCTGGGGTCAAGAAGGAATTGTTTTCCTAGCTTGTTGCAAAATTGTGCTTCAAACTGGGTTTTTTTGCCTTCTTTTGGATCAACAGCAAAAAACAAATGTGAGGAAGGCTGAACTTGATGGACGCAAGTCTCTTTTCAGCTATGTAACTAACTAACTATACTATACAGACACACAATAACCCATACAGACACACAAAGACCCATACAGACACACAAAGACCCACACAGAAAAATAATAACTGATACAGACACACACTGACCCATGCAGACATACAATCACCCATGCAGACACACACTGACCCATGCAGACACAAAATAACCCATACAGACACATAATGACCTATACAGACACACTCTGACTCATACA